ATCAGTTCTCTAATGCCCAAAGCCTGAGGGAACAGCTGGGAATCCTTCACTGAAGGTTAATGAAATTGGGATAGTTTAACCTCCCAGGGGAGATCATTCCCCAGGATAGGTGCCATAACCAAGAAGCACCTATTAGATGACATTGTTTCAAAGAAGGGACTTGGAGCATACCAATTCTGTTGCAGTATGTGGGATAGGCTGAAATGGAGGCAGGCAGTCTGCAAATAGGAGCTTCACAGAATATACAAAGACTATGGAGGTGAATAAAATGACATAACATGACATGATGTGGTATGACATAAAACCTCTATCTCTACTGCCAGAATAAAAATACTGAAGTCAACACATTTTTAACAGCTAAAGCACCTGAAGACCATTATATTTTCAGTAGTTAATTTCTGGAGGCTTATTCTTGCTATCTTAAAAATAATCTCCTTGAGTTAGCTAAAATGACTGTGCACACTTTGAAAAAAGTTGGAGCCTGTGGGGGGAGATGGAGCTGCTTTAAGATATCCATGCATTAAAATAGCAGCATGGTTTTTTTTATCTTTATCTTTCAGCAAGTGTTGATTAGCAGACAAGAACAAAATATGGAGAAGGGGAAAAGTGCTTCTTCCAAATCATTTTCAAAATGCATATAGCCTGTTCTATACAATAGTGTTCAGGTCTATCTTATTTATTTGTTTATTTATTAATTTTTCTCCCACCTTTATTACTTTATAAGTAACTCAAGGCAGTGAACATCCTCCTATTTTCACCACAACAACATAAATTGGGCTGAGAGAAAGTGAATGGCCTAAGGTCATCCAGATGGCTTTCATGCCTAAAGTGAGACTAGAACTCACAGTCTTCTGGTTTCTAGGCTAGCATCTTAACCACTAGACTAGACTGGTTATTAGTGTTTTATATTGCTTTACTTGACTATGGCATCAAGAACCACATTCATTTAACTCATTGCACATGTGATTCCAACAGCAGTCCTATGTGGAAATAGTCTTGCAACAGTTATTCATACTCTTGCAAGCTTTGATTGGACTATTATGATGGAGTTGCCTTTGAAATAGTGCAGAACTTTCTGCAAGACCAAAATAGTATATCTTGATTGGCAGGTGTGAATGAATCAGGCAGTTTTCTATTATGAAAGTACTTTACCATCTGCATTGGCTACTAATCCAGTTCCAAAACTAATTCAGAGTGCATTCAGAGTGTCGGCTTTAACATTTAGAGCTTTAAATAGCTTGGAGTTGGATTACATGATGGTATATGTCAACCTTTTTCTACCTGCTGAAAATATGTAGTAATACAGAGGTGTTTTTTTTAGCTTTGACCATGTGAATGCTCAGCAAGATTCATATAGCATCCAAATAATGGTATATAAGTACTACATAAACATTCATATGTTTTTAGTTCCTTCAGAGAGTTCCTGTAGATCTTCACTGTTGCTTCTCTGATTTTTTTATTTTATTAAATGCTTAAAGGTAAAGGTTCCCCTCACACATATGTGCTAGTCATTCCCAACTCTAGGGGGCGGTGCTCATCTCTGTTTCAAAGTCGAAGAGCCAGTGCTGTCCAAAGACGTTTCTGTGGTCATGTGGCCAGCATGACTAAATGCCAAAGGCGCATGGAACGCTGTTACCTTCCCACCAAAGGTGGTCCCTATTTTTCTACTTGCATTTTTTACGTGCTTTCGAACTGCTAGGGTGGCAGAAGCTGGGACAAGTAACGGGAGCTCACCCTGTTACGCGGCACTAGGGATTCGCACCGATGAATTGCTGACCTTTTGATCGACAAGCTCAGCGTCTTAGCCAATGAGCCACCATGTCCCTTTTTAAATGCTTACACTGGTTTTATTAAGATTTCTCTCTTGATTCATTATTGTATTGTTGTCACTGCTGTGTTATACATTTTCAGGTTCTACATTAGTTCTCTCATAAACACACGGGGACACACACACAGATCCCAATGTACAAACATACCTATATACATGTATAGGATACTCTTTTGGGGATTCCAATTCATATTAAGAGTCAGAATATTGCACTGCATTTGAGGAACCACATTTATTTTTAACACCCCAAAGTAATTTTGACTTTCCAGCAAAGTGCAGGAAAACCAATTCAATATTAATAAAACATGAACATTCTATCTCCGCAAAATCAAAATGAATCTTATTTGCCTCTTTAAAGTAAATCACTAGATTTCAAAATTCTCTAAATTCTCTCTATTATTTACCCAATTTTCACATGCACAAACACATACACATATATGAATTTTCTACAAACCTTATATGTTTAAAATACATAATAACCTTAACATAAAGTACACTTAAAGACACATATTAATATGTATGAAAATGTAAATTTGGGATTAGTGTTTTAAAATGCAAATTAAAGTAAGGGTGGAATGAAATAGATTTTTGAATGAACAAATGCAAACATGATACAAAATTAAAAACAGCAGAATGTTTTAATTCTTAGTTAAGATACATTTATTGGTTTGATTTATTGGTTCGATTTATATGTCGCCCTTTTCCGGAGACTCAGGGCGGCTTACAACGGTGTTCTTTTTTATACAAAGTCAGCTTATTGCCCCCACAAACCGGGTCCTCATTTTACCTACCTCAAAAGGATGGGAGGCTGAATCCACCTTGAGCCTGGTGAGATTTGAACTTGCAGTAATTGCAGGCAGCTGGTGTTACTTAACATTTACTCCCTCACTCAGATTTTGAAAATTATGTAATATATATTTGGTTTAGGAGTTAAGGCACCAGGCTAGAAACTGGTTCTAGTCCCTCCTTAGATATGAAAGCTGGTTAGGTGGCTTTGGGCTAGTTGGCCCAATTCACCTCACAGGTTGTTACTGAGGGGGAAGCAGGATGAAAGAATATTAAATATATTTGCTACCTTATTTATTAAGTTGGGATATAAATAAATAAATAGGGATGGTACCTAATATTATCATCCATGTAATACAATAAAGGAGAGCCAATTTGGTGTAGTGATTAAGGTATCTGGATAGAGACTGGAGTCTTTAAATTTTAATCCTGCGTTAGGCATGAAGTCAACTGGTTGACCTTGGTCCAATCACGCCCTCTCAGTCCTGTTTCAGAATTATTAGTCTCCCAAATAGTAGTTACAGTACTACTGTACTGTACATTATACAGTACAGTACACTATACAGTACAGTACACTATACAGTACTACAGCAATAAGGTGTACGAGGTACAAAACATCCTGTTTAAATCAGAATCAAAATGCATGAGACCTGATTCATTTATGCATGTAGCCTTGAAACTCAATTCAAATGCATTAAATTTGGGGTCCCCAACCTCTGGGCCGCAGCCCACTACTGGGCATGGCCTATTCGGAATTGGGCTGTGTGAGTGGCTGGCTGGAGCACATGCATGTGTGTGCATGTGCAGCACAACTTGCCCAAGCAGCAGGCCGGCAGATACTTACCTGCCATTTGCACAAGGGCTGTTTGCATGCATATACACAGTAACGCAACCTACTTCGCCTCTCCCCCCTCCCAGCCGGGCTACCAAGCCGCAAAGGTTGGGGACATCTATATTAAAGCCTTATGCAACAATGGATTTATAAATTATACCCCCCACACACAAAAAAACCCATATATCTAGTCACTAACACAGGACCATGAGATAATATGATACTTCCACACTCATGATTGTTGTAATTCTTTAAAGAATTATATAATACTTGCTTCTTTTATGGCTCTTAGAAGCTTACAACAATCAGCATTACTAATACAGCAGTTTTCCAAGATAGAGTTTAGAAACTTTAGATGAGATCTTTAAAAGCTTGTTATTAACAGTACTACATAGGTTATCACACTGGGAGCTTTTTCTGGCCTCCTTATTTATTACAATTTATGAGTGATGTCTTAGTCATGCTTCATCCATGTGACTTTTTTCTAAACACCTGTTTTGAATGATGGAGAACAGTTGGGAAACACTAGACAAGCATATGAATCTTTGAGCTGGTAATTGCATTTTAATTTCTCTTCTTATAACAATCTGTTGTGAAAAGCATTTATATTTTACTAGAGGAATCTATCTCTCTCAGGTTTGTGGAATCTTCATACAAGAAGCTCCATCTGAGTTTGACAAGAAATGTTATTTTTCCCCCTAAGCAAGTTTGCCACATTCTTTGTAGTTATTGTGACTGTTAATTAACGAGGAGCCTTAACTGAGGGAGATAATGTAAAATGCCATTTAATTTCATTTTATATTAAAATTTAGATTAAAATTATTTCTGGAAAATGATATGCCTAAAAATATGATCAAACTAAAAGAAGAATGGGAATAAGCAAGCATATAAAACATATAGAGAAATTAGAGCAATGTTTAGTATTACAGCTAAACTCTCACATATTTTCTTGGGGGGGAACGCCTTAATTTGTTTGGAGAAGGCAAAACTTCAAGTAGAGAAAGGGTTTGTGTATACTTTCCCTCTTTTCTCCAGGAAATTTCCTCACACAAATACCTGGGTGGATCTTCTTTTAAAAACAACAACAGTATGTGCCTTAGATAGGTATATATTCTTTAGAAAACGTGCAGTTAAATCATCCTTTTTGAAGATGAGAATACTAAACTGAATTGCAGTGCAGCTACAACAATAACAACTTTGAATTACCCTGGCAACATTTTGCATTGTTGAAGATGAGAGAGATCCTCCTTCCTGCGCCCACACCACACTCTCCACTTAACTATGACCCACCCAACCACTCCAACCACCTTCAGGAAAAAGGGAAGGATGACAAATGGGAGGTGTGTTCTTTCCTAACTTAGATTAAAATCTGAATTTAAAAAGATCTCAGCACTGCAGTGCTCACCCTTGGATCAAAGGTAAGTGTTACATGCCATCAAAATTTGTATTCCCCTCATCTAGGAATCTGTGCAGCAGCATCTTTAGTGATTTTCTAACCTTAGAATCTATGTAATAGCTTTTGCCTGAAAGATATTAAAGACATCAGAACAGTCATATTGTATCAAAGCAAAATTCCATCTACTGTAGTAAGCTGTATATGTCACACACAAAAACCTAGTCAGAGAAATGAGTGTTATTTTTTTTCCCCCTGATGGGCTCTTCTTCTGCATTTAAAAATGCATGACTGTAAGAATTTCCGCTGCTGTAACTTCTTTTCTAACCAGGCTTCTCTGTGTTGTATCTGTTCAACTCTGGTTTGCCTTGTAAATGTTAAAGGCTGTCCCAGTGTTCTGTAAAAGATTAGAGAGAGGGAATCTGGCAGGATAGGAAAATTATACAATGTCAAAATGTCAGTTAATACAATTGCTCATGGCTCATCCTTGAATTCAGACTTATGGCTCTGATCAAACACAATGTTGTAGAAGTGGAGATTGAAAAAGAACAAAAGTACACTTTCATAACTGGGAATAAGAAATTAAATGTCATCCTGCATGGCACAGAGTTAGTTTAAACATTAGTTTTATTTTATTTTACTTTCTTTCAGACTACATTACTGGATAACTACTCTATCTGATAATAGCAGATCTGAGCCCCAAAACCTGAAGGTAGAAAAGATATACTGTATATGGACACTAACTTTGTGTTGGCGGCTAGTAGTTGTTAGGAATTTTAAAACCCAGAGCTGGAAACCCCTAGAAATAGTTCAGTGGTGAAATATGAACCAGTTTGCCACCGGTTCACAAGCTGTACATGCGCAGTGAGTGCCAAACATGCGCAGTGCACACCAAACACATGCTGCACGCATGTACATGCGCAGTATGCACCAGATGAGCACTTCATGGAAAAAGGAGGCTTGGGAATGTAAGTAGAACAGTGAGGGGGGAACAGCCGTGCCGCACGATTTAGATTCATTAGAAAGCAGGATTTCCTGCTTTCCAGCGATTTTAAATCATGCAGCACAGCTGATCATCAGAAATACCGGTTCGGAGGAACTAGTAGCTTTTTTTTACTACCGGTTCGCCCGAACTGGAGCGAACCGGTAGCATTTCACCACTGGCACAGTTCTTCCATAGAGTTCCAATATGCAGGCTTCAATATTTATACCCTTTCATCATTCCTTTCACCATCCACGTTTTTCACAAAACTCTAGTATTTAAAAAATGCAATCCATAGCAACATGCAAGATCTTGTCCCTTTCCAAATGGTACATCCAAATCTATTCAGAAGCATGGAAGTATATTACAGTTTCTGTCAGATTCTTTTGTGTAATTAACATCATGAGACATGAGGCTTGGAATTCAGTATATCCCTCTCCCGTGGTGGGATTTAAGTAATTTAACAACTGGTTCTCTGCCCTAATGATTTCTTCCAACAACCAGTTTGCCAAACTGCTCAGAAAGTTAACAACCGGTTCTCCCGAAGTAGTGCGAACTGGCTGAATCCCACCACTGCCCCTTTCTCTAGATAATGTAGGATCTAATAGGCTTCAAAGGCTTCAAAGAAGAATACTGTCATGTTATACTGACAGTTCTCCTGACAGTTAAAACTCTGTGCAGGTACAAAGGGCATTGCTGGCATCAAGGCATTATCATTATTTTAGAGAGCGTAGATATGACAAAATGGATATCAGTGAGCCCCGAATGGCCTTTCTACAGTTCACCATCTCAATTGAAAGCAAAGCACCCTGCATCCTTGAAGCAAGAGTAAAAACATAGGATTTTGCGATCCCAGTACGTAGACACAGAAGGACATTACATTCTTCCAGACAGAAGACTTAAGTGTGAAGCATTTTTAAGAGAGTTCATCTGATGAACACATGAGATAATACAAACTACATCACACATTTTAATGACTATCTGAAGTCATTAAAGTATATGGGATTAAACCAGTGGTGGGCTGCTGCCGGTTCAGGAGAACCAGTAGTTCCAACTATCAGCTAACTCCGCCCACCCGCCCCCGTCCTATCCTGTCCTATATTTCCTTCTTTCTGGGTCAGCTGATTCACGCGGCACAGCTGATTTCCACGCCTCCACTGTTCTGCTTACCGGGGCTGCCTTAGAAGGTAAGCAGCTGAGCTTCAAATTGCTGTATTTTGAACGCTACGCGCAAGTGCATTCGGTGCACGTGCATGCGCGAAGCTCACACTCACTGAACCAGTTGTTAAACCGGTTGCAGCCCACCACTGGATTCAACCTTCATTCTGAGCTTCTGCGCCAGGCTCATCTGATTTTGCATCTAACTGACGGAGAGGCTGCACTTATTCAGCATATTTAAACTGGCTTCTGCATTAATTTATTTGCTGGCTTCAGCTTACACTGAAGCTTAAACTATCCAAATGGGATGGATTTGCACAGCAAAATAAAAGGAAAGGAAAAAGGAGGAGGAGGAGGAGGAGGAGGAGGAGGAGGAGGAGGCGGCTAACACCAACCAAACATAGTATGCTATGTGAATGTAAGCCATTAGTTCTTTAACTGGCCTAGTTAAGAGGGTTGTCTGAAGATAGCCAAAAGGTGCTTGCTTTTCTATTTAGAACAGCCAAACCATATGGATTCCTCCATATTTCTGAGCAGAGCAATTCATAAATTGTTATACACTGCTCAAAAAAATAAAGGGAACACAAGCAGAAGACATCCGAGATCTGAATGAATGAAATAGCCTTATTAAATACTTTGTTCATTACATACAGTAGTTTTGTGTTCCCTTTAGTTGTTTGAGCAGTGTATAAACTACTGTATGTAAAGAACAAAGTATTTAATAAGGCTATTTCATTCATTCAGATCTCGGATGTCTTCTGCTTGTGTTCCCTTTATTTTTTTGAGCAGTATATTATCATATGAGTCACTTGAGCAATCAGTTGGAAATAAAGCCTAAATCACATTGCTGGAACAAATAGTCTTTAAATGTAAATCTCATCCCTTCAAACAGGATTTGGCATATGTGGAAATTTGACCCCCTATTAGGGCCACTAATCTATAACCTTCTTATGGACAAGGTGCTTGAACATCCCAATGGCACTCTGAACTGTTGTGAATGATCCCCCAAGAGGGTCATTCACAAGGGTTGGGTCATAAAAACGGAGTCAGGTTAAATAAGACTCATTTGGAGAAGGAAATAGCAAGCCCTTCTGCAAGCAGCAAAACCACCTCATGAGTCCAGACAATGTGCACCATAGATCAAAAGATCCCAAGAAGCCATTGGAGGAAAGCTGAGGGCAATTGAGTCACCTCAATTGAATTAAAGCTAAAAGGACATTCAGTTGCTGATGTGGGCAGAGGCAAAAAGAAAGCATGATGCTGCAAAGATTTATTCCCCTTTTGTATATAAAAGTCAGAACTATGAATCAAAGCAGATTTGATGTTGCCAAAGCAGAAACGTTCTGACAATCGGTATATTGAAATGAATTGAAATGAATCACCATATCAAAGGAGGATCAGATATTTTATTGTAGAAAAGAAAAGAAAAGAGTAACCGTCATTACTGTATTAACAAGAGTGTTGCTATTATGAACCATGATAAATAAATAATGTGGCTGCTACACATTATCTGTTCTAAGCAAAGGTTCCTAATGTTAGCATTTTTCTATGTAATGCTCATATTTATATGCTTTTTTTCTACTCAACTTTAGGATCCTGTATTTAAAAGTAATTTGATTTTAACACATATATTTTAGTGAAGCTTTTTAAAATGGATATTGAATTTCAAATAGTTTTCCAAATGTGTTGATTTTTTTTAATGTTGCTTTTGTCTCTGGCAATCTCAGCATTTTAAGAAAAAAAAATCTATGTCGGAAAAATGTTCCAAGGATGTGATCCAAGAATCATTTGGAAGATACCTAATATGGTCATCCAAAACTGATTGCTCAGTTTGAATGTCCCTCTATGGAAGTTTCTCTCACTTTCCAGGAAATCACCTTGTTAGGTGAACCAATTTTATGTTCCAGGGACTTTGCAGAGAGTAGAGAGAGAAAGTGCTGGAGAGTTCTAGAAAATTCCCTTCTGTAATGAAAAATTAACTTTCCTGGTCAATTTAGATAACAAAGTCTGAAATTTTCACTCGTAAAATCTATGAGGTCATCACAGGGGTGAAATCCAAAATTTTTCCCTACCTGTTCTGTGGGCGTGGCTTGGTGGGTGTGGCAGGGGAAGGATATTGCAAAATCTCCATTCCCACCCCACTCTGGGGCCCGCCAGAGGTGGTATTTGCCAGTTCTCTGAACTACGCAAAATTTCCGCTACTGATTCTCCAGAACCTATTAGAACCTGCTGGATTTCACCCCTGGGTCATCAGCACAGCTGTTTTGCTATGGTTTCCTCTCATCCTGCAGATGGGAAGAATCATGTCAGCATTAATTGTACTGTCCTGATTAAAAAATCCAGAAAAGTTCATGCTGTATCCCACCATGAGGTATTATAATGGCAGCAATAGGTATTATAGTGGCAGCATAGATATTATAGTGGCAGCAATAGATACTATAGTGGCAGCAATTATAATGGCAACAATTCCCTGGCTGTAATCACAAACCATAAGCAAAACTGCCATCAATCATGGAGTAGGGTGCCAGCCTGGTGTTTGTAACATTCAGGTGGGCAGAAGGAGTAATCTTAAGGAACAGGGGGAAGAGCTTCAACCAAGACAATGGTCAGATAAAAGAAATTTGAGCCTGGGATAGAAAAGCATCTCAGAAAAGATCATCTCTGGACGGGGGGGATCCAGTCATATTTGCAGAATAGGAAGTGATCTTATCCGTATGAGAAGCTTCTGGATATATTATACTGGATATGCCTACCTGATTCTTAAGAATAAAAAAAAATTAAAAGATCTAAAAAAGGAGTTTGTTTTTCATGAAAAAGCCAGATGTTATACCTGGATTTTGTGTATTCAGGCTGAGGTCTCTTAGCTGCTGTAGGGCAAACAAATGCTGGCAGTATATCTTAGAAATGTGTAACAAAGGGCTTCTGGTAGCTAATCCTATTTTGCAGGACTGTCACAAAGGCCATAAGATGCAAAAGTTGTTTTAGTAGATTTCAATCCTGTGTTTGCCTTGATTTTAGCTGTGTTTTTTCTGTATATTGCTTTCGAGGCTGTTGTTTTAGGAAGCCTAGCCATTTAAAAATCATCATCATCATCATCACAACAACAACAACAACAACGACGACAACAGACTCTAGGATGAACAAATAAAAATAAATGCTATTCAATTTTTTTGAAACAATGGAAAAGGCTTTAATTAGATTTCAATGTTCCTTCCAAATAATGACCTAGTTGAATAAACAAGGTAAGTTTACTGCTGCTTCTATTTAAAATTTGCTTCCTTTACTTATTAAACAAAATTTTAGGAACCCCGTTTGAATTGAGTTTTTAGTATGAAAAAGTAAGGGGACCTAGTTATTTGCATGCATCCTGCTCTCCTAGAGTGTTACTTTAAAGCTATGAAGGTCCCAATTATTCATGCCTTAAGATTTCTACCATCAAACTGTTGTTAGCGCAAAGATAATTTTATATTGCATAATGCCTTTTTTTTCAAAATTAAATCAGCAACTAAGAAATTCTCAAAATTAGTCATAAGTCATAAGTTTATTTGTCAAGTATATATAAGATAACAGGTAAAAGTATAAACATAATTTGAATGCATGAAAAAAGTAAAAAGGGATATTAGGACAGGGACATTGGCACGCTGGTGTATTTATGCACGCCCCTTATAGACCTCTTAGGAATAGGGTGAGGTCAACAGTAGACAGTTTAAGGTTAAAGTTTTGGGGCTTTGGGGAAGAAACTACAGAGTCAGGTAGTGCATTCCAGGCATTGACCACTCTTTACTGAAGTCATATTTTCTGCAATTGAGTTTGGAATGGTTTACCTTGAGTTTGTATCTATTATTTGCTCGTGTATTGTTGTGGTTGAAGCTGAAGTAGTCATTTACAGGAAGGACATTATGGCAGATAATTTTATGTACTATGCTTAGATCAGACTGAACGCGGTGTAGTTTTAAGTTGTCTAAGCCCAAAATTTGGAGTCTGGTGGCATAAGGTATTTTATTGCGGTTAGAGGAATGGAGGACTCTTCTCGTAAAATATCTCTGGACTCTCTCAATTGTATTTATGTCTGATATGCAGGGCGGGTTCCAGACAGATGAGCTGTATGCAAGGATTGGTCTACAAATGAATTGGATCCACCCAAAATGGAATGACCACGCAGATTTGCTTTTCGCTACTCACACTGCAAAATATTGGTATAAATTGTGGCTTGTGAACAGATGAAGTGATGATATTTTTAGAGTTTGCAATTCTGTTATATATTTTCATTCTAGTGCTTACCACTAACATTAAAAAAAACTGTTCTTGAAAATTATTGCCTTCTCAGTAATCTGACATATCAGCCTTAACAATGGATGACTAGAGATGACGGACCTAGTCATTTCTAGGAATCATTTAGTAACTACTATGATAAGCCAGCACCAAGATTAGTTTTCTTATAGCAAAATGTTATTTCAAAATCCTCCTTTGTATTGGCTGCAGAAAATGAATGAAAAGAGGAAGGAGGAAGAAGGGAGGTGTGCAGTAGAAAAGCAGCTCTTTCCTCCTTTTTGTGTTATGACCGAATTGCTATTATCAGAACGGTTATCAGCAAAACCACCAATAGCCTTACCAACTCCATCTTAAACTAAAGTATGATTGGTATATGTGTTTCACATGCATAATTCTCCACACCACAACCTTTGGATTCCCTCTTTCTAATCCAGGCTTCTCAAATAAGACCTGAGGAATTAGTTTGATGTAGGTTATTAAACAAATATCATGGTCTGTGCTACCCAAAAAATGCACAAATCTAATACAACTGTCTATTGCTTGTTACATTTCTGTGAAATTTGTAATTCCAAAATCTGCCCTAAAATATATATTTTAAATACTAAATGTGCAATGGGGAGAGGAAAGAAATAAAAGGTATATTGTTGTGGCCCACCAACAGCCAGTGAGGCTGGCAGCAGAGTCAGAAAATGAGGAGGTTGGGGAGGAACTTGAGCCAGTTCTGGGGGCTGGGGAAAGCTCAGATGTGGGCTCTGCATCAGAGGCAGGGAGGGGGCCAAGGCTATCTGATAGTTGTGTGCAGCCTCCGGAGTCTGACAGCAGCGAGGCAGAAGAACAGCGGGAGCCTGTTCCCAGTGGGTGCATGCACAGAGCTGCCAGATGACAAGAACAATTAAGAAAACAGGGTCAACTTGGTAGTAAGACTTAGAGATGATTGGTTCCTCCCATAAGACATAAAAGAAAAGCGAACGGGACATGGCTGATTCAACTTTCATTTGAAAGTTCTGTTTGTGACTCTGTACTAAGTTTGGCCTTACCCTGCATCTAGAAATTAGCTCTCTGACAGTGTTCCACATGAGATAGGTGGGTGTTGATAACCTTCCTATGAAAGACTGTTTATCAAGCCTTTATAGACTGTAAATGAAAGTAATTTACAGTCATTTAAATAAAAGAGGTTTTGAGGGACTAAGATTGTGCTTTATACTTTCTAAGGAAGCCTAGGTCAGAACATATATTTGTATTCATATGCCATGTCCTTTTTTGTACAGGCTGGATAGAACCAAGGCTGAAAAGGTCTTAGGAGGTTGACATGGCCTAGAAATTGACTGATCTGTCCATTCCTGGTTGCACGTTCCACTCTAGTTGGGCTTTCCATATCTGTAACCTGCTTTTAAAATAAAATTTAATTTAAAAAAAAATTAAAATGTTTAAAAATCCACTGCTGAATTTTCAGGAGAAAAGCACAGCCATTTTTCTTCCTGGTACAGATTGCAATATGAAACATATACTTGGCGTTCTTTAAATATCTATAATCTATATACACCCAAGGTCATGTTTTGCGTGATGGGCAGCCATATAAATAGAAGGCATAAATAAATAAATGTAAATGTAAAATCTAATATAATGTATAATAATCTCTGTATTTGCTACCTATGCACCTTGGAGGAGGTGCTTCAAAGTGAGGCCCTACATTACATTGCCTGGTGGAGATGTCAGGAAAGGAATCTGGTCATTGCTTTGTGGTCGGTAGATGTTCTCCTCACAGCAAGTGTCTACTTTCCAAAAAGTTCACGATAGCTGCAGTTATCGCTTTTGGGACTACACATTGCTCTGAGGCACCCACATTGCTGTTTCATAGCGCCAAGCGGCTGGGGTCTGTAAACTTACCTCTCAGCATTACAGCATAACCTAGATTGTAACTGAAGCCATTATTGACTTCCTCTGCCCATTTTAAGTGTCACTTCTTAGCTTCACACTCTCAGGAATTGTCATCCATTCGTAGCTTTCCTGTTAATAGAACAATCAGAGATGAGAAAGGAGAAATAACACTCAATTAAATTAGATCATTCAAAGGAAGCTAGGAAAAAATAGATATTCTGAAGGGCTGGGCTTTTTAAGATATTCTGAAGGGCTGTATGTCTCTTAAAAATAGAGCCATCTCACATAATGTTCCATGATGCTAAACTACTGCAAAGGTATCATTCTTGTCAACAGAATGAGTCAACCAGGTTTGAGTCCGCTTAGGTTTTCTGAGATCAAGCAAGGTTATCTATGTGCTGCCACTTGGGAATATAAATTGATATATTTACTGCATATTTAGTCGCTAATACTTCCATAAGTAAGGTACATATTGGAAAGAAAAAGTGGAGTATAAAAATAAGGGAAAAATAGAAGAGGGAGCGTAAAAATAAAAATATTTTTCTTTTCTTTCTACAATAGAAACGATGAGCTGTTCAGAAAACAAGAGCAAGCAATTCTTATTGCAATATCTGGAAGCTCATGAACAGAAACATGCAAGAAAGGAAGAAAGCAATGGACATTGTGAATGCCTATTTAACCTGAAATAGTTCTTAATCCTGAGATAATCTTATCCTATTTTGTAATAGGCTCCAGGAAGAAATACTTTATTGGGTTTCTCCAACGTGCACATTTCAACTTCATTCCATCATTTGGTAAGAAGGTGAACCAACAGGTATGGATATCTCAGAAACAACTAGGGTAAGGCCTAAAAGCTGTGCCTGTGCTGCAGAAACACAGGAACGTGGTAATATATTACATCTCACAAGTTATATTGCAGGTCTAAGTTCTCCCATGTCAGTGTAGGATTCAGGTGCCTCATGACTGGGTAAGGTGTCAAGGAGATCACATGTGGCTAGATATGGACAATGATGAATGCATCTTTGAGAGAGGGGACAGTTCCCCCATCCATTAAGGTGGTCAACCTCTCCCCAAGAAGCCATCTCTAGACCTGACTATTTTAGAAAACATTCTCCCTGTCTTCAACATCTTTGTGGGAAAGGTGGGTGAAGCAGATTATCTGGACCCCTTCCAGCCAGGTTGCAGGCTGGAATATGGGACTGAAATTATCTTGGTTGCACGTGTGGATATGTGGTGTGCTCTGGAGGGAGGATGATTGGGACATTGCTTATTTGGAGGAGAAAATCATAGTTCCTCTTCTATATGGTAAGGTAAACAAGTCATAAATTGCTCGGGTTCTTCGACAGAAGCAACAAAGCAGGATACTCATGGTAAAGCAGAATATCTCACTGTTTTGCTTTTCTGTAGCATGTAAATGCTGCCATTGAGTAATTTCTTCATTACCATATATTATTTCAGCTCTTTTATGCAGTTCATGTAAGTGAACATTTGATTTCTTTCTGTCTAATGAAATTATATTTTAAGAGTTGATTAAACCAAAGAAGTCATTCTGAATGTAAAATGAAGGAGCTAGTGTATATTTCAAAGGTTCTTGAAAAACAAGCAAGTCTTATTTTTATGAGACTCAGCATAACTGTTCTTGGTCTTCCTGCTTATTGATTCCGAGATGATAAGTTCCCATTGCTCTCACTTTAATATTTTTATCTCTGCAAAAATTCCCAGATGCCATTGTTATGAGGACAAAATTCCTGTTTTCCATTAAGGAAAGCTTCATTTTTATTCAGTTACATTACCTAGAAGTAATGTACAAACTGAAGCAATGAAATAAGTAAGGATGTTGTTTCAGTAAGGATGTAAGTAAGTAAATTCCAGGTCTAACAGCAGGCCTTCGTATTCACAAGGAAAATGATAATGATTCTCAAAACAGGGATTAATCCCAGGTCTCAACATTTTTAGTGTGATCCCCAAGGAACGATCACATTAAATTGGGGGCAGGGGAATATGTTGGATTAGAAAAGGCTTCAAAGTCAATTTTGACAGTTGTGAAATATTAAACCAAAGTATTCTCCAAAGGCTGTTGAATTTGGAAAAGCTGCTTTGAGAAGTTCCTTTATTTCATGTTGCCTTGGTGGAATGACAGCAAATATTATCAATAACAGTGTAAAAACACCCACAGTTTAATAGGCCTCTTTTGTGTTCATTAAAACAGGCAATATAGCATCTGCTTAGATAATAATCATTATTATTCTCATTATTTTTCATGTTTTAACACTTCATGAATCTGTGTGACAATTAATTATGCTGATCTTTTCTCTATGGTTCCAAGACAATCAGATTGGGGCCAGCAACAAAAATCTTTCATTTGAATTAATTTAAATTAAATTAAGCTAGCAATATTATTTCACATGTTTGGTAACATTATGGTTATGATTTTCAGGAGCTGTTCATGCATCATTCAGATGAATACCAATGACTATTTTGCATTACATTTCTGCTTTAACAATCAAATGTGTCTTTTTTCCCTAAAAAAAAAAAAAACCCAACCCCAAACCATTGTTTTCACCTTTTGAATCATTTTGGATGGTTATTATAGCAATGTACCTCTAGTGAATTAGGAATGATAGAAAACACTGAATATATTTTAGTTTACTGTACCTTTGTTTATTGTACCAAGTCCATTATACCTTTTCTATTGTATTTTCCAGGTGGATCAAAGCAATTTCATATTTTCTTCTGCTGTCAGACAAAAATAACATCATTACAAATGATGCTGCACAGTGTTGTGTGATAGCATATAAAGTTTGACACGAATTAACATTTAAGCCACCTTTGTGAATAAGCCATTTCACTGTTAGCTGATCACAATTTAATGTCTATCTTGTAGGTCCTGGAGTGCTTTTTAAATTGTAAATTGTATTTATCAGTATGTGTACAGCTTGATTATGGACTATTCCCTAATATGTGTTTTACTGGTTATATAACATTACTTAATATTGTAAACATCTATCTGTTTGGCTTATTAGTCTGGCTAACTGAATGAATATATTTTCCTAATCTTAATAACGATAAACATTTTCAGGGTTCCAGCAAAAAACATATACAACTTTCTGTAGTTCTGAAGCTGGAAAGTGATGTTCAATCACATTAATAAATGGTACCTCCATTTTGTTCTTCTTCTTCATTTCACAGAATGGTGACATTTGAAAAACAGCCTGGAGAATGACAGTTACAAGAAAAATGTTCAGATAGCTTCTATTGAAAATCCTCATATGACACAAACACAGAGAAGTTGGCCTCCTGTGACAGGAATATAAAAATAAGAGACTCACATCTGAGGGTTGGCAGGATCCAAAAAGCAGCTAAAGAGACAGACTAACCAGGCAGATATTAAAAAATAGCTCTGGGCCTAACTTTACATATCTGAACATGGAAGTCATTAACCAGTGTTCTTTGTTCCTACAATGATAATTCCTAACTAGAAGTTTCAATTTAGGTGAAGCTTACATTTTATTTGCAGATTTTGCCTTAAACCATGGTTTTAGAAGATGGGCCTAGAATATTTATGAAAGCCTTTATCTCACCTGCTTATACTGAAAATATGAGCCATTGGTTGGTACCAAGGGATGGGGAAATATTTGCCCCAGTGCTTGGCCAGAAATGCAGAGGCAGAATAACCACTCTCCATTTCTTTGGAAATTGCAGCCCAGATGCCTGACTTTGAAGACAGCTCTCCATCCCCAAGCCCATGAAAACTCTGTTACTGCTATATTGCAGAACAGTAATCAGAACAATATTGTGCACTTCATAGGATGGATTACTTAAAAATAAAAGGTTACCTGAGATGCAGGCATTTCTTTTAAGCTGACCATACACTATGAACCAACGAACCCTGGCTGAAAATGAGTAAAGTCTTCTATCATTTCTGAATGTAAATTCTGAGCAGAGTATCTATCTCCAATTTGGCCCTGGATTCTTGAACCTGTGCCTGGATTTTGTTTTATAATGGTTTATTTGGATCTCTGCTTTTGCCTGGATTGGACTACTGTGATTGCCTTCTCCATATTGTCCATGACTTCTGTGTTTGTAATGTTGACCTTCCAAGCTCAATTCTGCTTACATTTCTTTGAATGGATCAGCAACTGCCTTAGGTGGCAGATGTAGAGGCACTAGCCATGCTCAGCTATTGCTTCTGAATCTCCAGCCAGTTCTGTTTCTTGTGGGCATCGTGTCCATTTTGTGCATGACACAGAAAACATTTTGTAGCTCTCAAGCTTGCCTGTTGCCTTCAGTTGTTGTGGGAGTTCAGTTGTGTGGGAGAATCTGTTCTACTTTCAGCACTGAAAGTAAGTATGATAGGGAGCACCAGCTGCCTTGAATAACAAAATGTCTTGGGCCATCCCAGAATAGGTCTCAGCCCCCAAACATATGGAATAATAACCTGAAATGCCTCTAAGCCTGTTAGAAATATCTGATTACTCATTGACCATCTGCATCAGTACTCGTTCATTAAGGATGAGTAAAAACAAATACCAAGTTGTTGAGTTTCTGAAAGGGTGGACAGATCTTAAGATAGCAGCATTGATAAGGACCATAATCACTTTTATCAAAGTTAACACTTCAAACAAAAATCAAAGCCTTCTATCTTCTCTCCTGGATTTATTTTAATAAATGGGGAGAGTTGGAGGTTTCACCCTGGTCTTTCTCCTGACACTCATAAAAATGCTTGATAAAAAGAACCATGACAGATACAGAATGTTTTAATTTTGAAAACCGTTGATCTGTTTTACAGTGACAAACTGTGTTGCCTGTCTAAATAAAGTTACGCGTTTATCTTGCCTTTGTCATCAGGGTCCTTATACTCCATTCCTGTGGATGGTTCTCAGCCATTTTATCAGACACTCTTTCTGAGTCACAGACTAGAACTAATGCTTCACACAAGAATAAATGCATTGAGTTCAATAAAATTCCATAGCAATAGAGGATAATATTTGTAGCTCGGAGTTGAGATGAGGGGTCCTTGGTGCTCTCTGAGCTTGGTTGCTTTCTTGTCAACTGGCTAATGGGAGTGGGCTTTATGGTTCTTTGGTTGGGCTGTTTACTGTTAGCTTGTTTTGCAGTTCCTTGATTGGGGTACTGTTTGCTGCTTGTCTGTTAGAAAACGCTCTCATTCCAATCACCTTGGACCATGAAGTTTCCCAGCGACACAGGCTGTGAGCACTAAAATTAATCTGGTAATGAAATATTTGTTTCAATTAACTTTACTGACATCAGTGTTTCTATGGACCCAATGGGGTCAACCATAAAAGGATGTTAATTATACTGTGTTCAAAGCATCTAGGCTTAAAGTAATGTTGCACAAAGATATCTGAGTGGGAATTTAAATTTGGTTCATCGTTCCGTATTAAAGATTAACAAATAGAAGTAGAAAGCCACATGTATACAGACCTGTGACAGACAGAAGCCTATTTAAGCTTGTCTCTAGAGCTTCTCTATATGACATGCATGGAGACACTGCGGTCCTTGCAGCTTACTGATTTCCCCAGTGTATCCTCTTGCTTTACATTTTTCAGCAAAAGAGAAGTTCATCCCTATGATGAGTTTGATTTTTCTGGTCAGATGATGACTAGCAGCTAGTTACTCTCAGAGAAGCAGTCACAAAAAAATACTGTTGCTAGAGCAATATTCAGCTGTCGGGCCCATGAGGTAGGCTAACTCCACAGGAAAAATAGAGCTCTGCTTTATTGAGAGAGGCTCTAGTAATGGAATCTTGCAAATCTGCCTATGTTTTCCCTTCACACCCTCTTATACCCTATGGAGTCAACGAAAAGCAACTCTGAGTCTTATTTCTAATATTTCCCTCCCCGGGCTTAACATGTCTTTTTGTCCTTGTTGCTGTTGGGTGGCTTCTCCAAGGTCATCTCCAGGGCTGTCTACACCAACTCAAAGGCTAGGTTTACATGGACTGGATTGGACAGATAATTGGCCATCAGTTACAGTGCAAGAGGCATCAGGATTGATAGAATCACTTAAGGTCAATCATGCTTCTGGTGCTGATTGTGTTATGCCCAAATTAATTAAAAGAATTCTAGTTAGCATCTCTCTTCACATTTATAGATCAGACGTGTTATATTCTAAAGGATTGGGAGATGGTAATTATTGTCCCAATTATTTAAAAAGGCAGTAAGAATGAGCCACATAACTACAGGCCTATTAACCTTTAGAGTTATTAGCAAGTTATATGCTAAAGACTTAGATTCTAAATTACAAGACTGGATGGAAACGATAGATGCAATCCAATATGAACAGGCAGAAGGGAGATTATTTTGGTCTTATATTATCTTCTACAAAAATATACGTGCAAAAAGAAATATCTATGTATGTGGCTTTCCTTGATTTTAAACAAGCTTTTAATTCAGTATCCAGGAATGTTCTTTTGGATAAATTTAAAAATATAACTATTGATAGGTGCTTCCTCCATTTCACACAAGAATAATATTCTAACTCCACCCTAAGAGTGAAGTGCAAACCCCTTGGAGCTTTCTCTGACACTGTAAAAATGCAGAAAGGAGTGTGACAAGGATGTTTTTTTTTTTTAAATTTATTAAAGAGATTTATATAGCTGTTCAACTCACACACAATATGTTTGGGTGGCACACAACATGAAAAATCAATAATATTTCAGCACCCATCATAGTGGTGATGAACATAGTCAGGCAAATTTCTCCAGAATCCTCTGCAGCTGCTGGACAACCACTTTTTCAGCAACCTTCCCTAAAAATATTGAATGCAGGATAAAAACTGTCCATCAGAGTAGTTTCTAGCAATGGCTTCAGTGTCTTTAAAAGGCTGAGACACACCTCCCCATTGCAGGCAGGGCCGGATTTTCCTATAGGCTAACTAGGCTTCAGCCTAGGGCCTCAAGATCCAGAGGGGCCTACACAGTGTGGGATTCTGGGGGTTCTAGGTGGCTCGGCCGAACCCTTTGTTAAATTGCTGGCTCCCCCGCCCCTCCGCACCACTATTTATTGCCAATAAATAGTGGTGGGCGAGGGGCGGGGGAGCCAGCAATTTAACAAAGGGTTCGGTGTTTTTTTTTGTAATTTTATTGGCCCCCGGAGCTTCAGCAGAGGCTAATTGGCCTCCCAGCTCTCAGCTGATTTGTCTCCGCTGTTTTGCTCAGGGCTCTTCTGCTTCCGTGCAAAGAAACGAAACTGAAACTGCTTTGCTGTTACTGCAAGGTTGGAAAATTAGGCAGGCAGAATTCTTTTCTTTTTCCTCACCAAAAAAGGTACGTGTAAACAATGGGAATTTTAGGGAAAAAGAGAAGAGTTCAGGATTTTAAAACACAAAAGAAAAAAAAGCTGTATTTAACTAGGGAATTGTAATAATTGAGATACTATTAATTGTATATTTCTGAAAGCAGAAATGGTTAAGTTGTGGTTTGGAGGAATATATGGGGGAAATTATTTGGTTTATTATTATTGGTAAATATAATTAATGGATTTGTAAGAAATTGGATTGCATGGAAATAATTGGAATATTCATGTTCATATTGATTAATATACAAAAAAGGTAGTTATATAACTAATTGATTTATATTAAAATGTTGAATTTATATTAAGCAACTAATATTACATAATTAACCAATGTGAGGATGGATATAAAAATAGATGACAATGGGAAGGGGTATAATATAGAATAGAAGGGAAAAATTGAATTTGATTAAGATTAGAGATGAGGATGAGGGTAATATTGGTTTTTTACAAAAATAGATGAGGAATAAATATGGCAAAAAGGAAATATAGAAATTGTAAATTTAATTGAAATGACTAAACACTGTTTAAATTTGTGAACCGGCCAAATACTCTGTTCAAAGAAAATACATTGTATGTTTGTATGTGTGTTTCTAATTATTGTTATTTATTCATATTTGTTCTCTTTTATTCTTTAAAGTTTAACAATTCATTCTTTATCTTAATATCTTTATATTTGTTTGGGGTTGGCTTTCTTCCCTTTCATCTTTTTTATTGTATAGCAATCTTTCTCCTCAAACCTACCACCTCTCTTTTCTTTCCTTCTTACTTTCTCTTCCTCCCCCTCTTCTTCTCCTCCCTACTTCCTCTTCCTTTCTCCTTCTCCTCCTCTCTTCCTCCCTCTCTCTCCTACTCTAATTTCCCTTCCCTTCCTTCATCCCTCTCTATTGCTGTATCCTTTTATGCATATGGACTACTC